ATCCCTAAACCGTTCCGACGATTTTCTCCGAAATTGATATTCCCCGTTCGATCTGATCGAATTTGATCATCTGCGAGTTTGATACAGATATTTTGATTTTTGAGGGTAGTTGTTATAGGACTCACTATTTTCAAAAAATTCTGAAAAACTATTAACAAATTTGCGGTTGTAGAACCGCTTGTTGTATATGGGGATGGGGTATCTGATGGATGTGTAGATACCCATTGACTTCACATACCTATCTTTTGTTGTAAAATAACACGAGTTTTTCGATTTTACTTTCTCGTATACTTGATATATCAAGAGTAATATAAGCAGTATATAGAAAGATTTTATAGCAATACTGCGGCAAAAACGACATTTTTTTCCAGGGAACGACTAGAACTGTGGGGCCCTGATTAGAAAAAAGTTGATAAACCTTATTCTAATTCACGCGTATAGTAAATTACTTACTGTAATATCATATGAAGTCAAATTTTACCAATACGGAGACCATAAAACCGAAAAAGTGTACGAGGTTGTGATAGTAAGGAAACGAAAGAATCAGTCTTTTTTTATTATTATAATAAAAAAGCGAGTTTCCACTTTCAAATTTTAATTTGTGCTGCCTTCTGTCAGACTCTTACCCCATGCTACTCTTCGTAGGTATTATTGCTACTGATGATTGCCCTGGTGGTGTTTGGTGGTTTCCCTGGTCTCGAGCATTCTGTTCGAAAGGACGTTTGTTGGATTTCGATTTTATTTTAGGATTCCTGTTAACATATTTCAAATTTTATCCGGCAGTATACACGTCGTGTAGAGAAAGTTGTCTAATACTGGAATATCGATTTCGAGCTTTCAACGAAAATACGCTATGGGGTTTCCTGGTACCGAAAAAGTGTTGTTTTCTCTTCAAAGCGTCTGTCGTCTGTGTACAACACTTAACTCCTAAACGATGCATAGGATTTTTTCCAAACCCAATTTTGTCAGGCCAATCTGACCTCACCCAAAGGTCTGCCAGTTTGAAAAACCTTTTATGAAATTTTGGAGGCACTTTACACGAAACCTCTTGTGTGTGTGTGTGTATGCATATTAATTTTGGAATGGAGATATGAGGCCAGGAGCTGCATGTAACCTCCCCCCAAAGCAATTAAAATTTCGAAATTCAAATCCAAGGGGTCACTCCACCAGCCAGATCGATTGGGGAACATCAATTTTGGTAAAAAATCGGCTGAATGGTTTAGCCGCTAGCGTTATTCGTAAACAGACGGACAGAGATTTTGCTGTCAATTAATTTGTCGGTATGGACGCACAACAACATAAAAAAATGATTCTGGCTGCACCACATGTTAGATGACTTTTTTCTCTAAATTTAGCAATTGGATTTATCCACTTTTTCGTTTTCTGTCGAAAATTCGCCGTTTTTTCACGCAGCGTTACGTATCTTTGTACTGCGTAAGCATTAACGAGAAAGTAAAATTAGGAAATTAGTATGAGAAAATCTGTGGAAGCACTAAATCAATATTAAGATTTGATAACAAAAATTGAACCTCTACTTGCGCATACCATGAAGTTTGCTCTGTGGCCAAAACGGAGGGAGCTTGGGAGTAATCTGTTCTATTGAAGAATTATCATGAGTAGTATCTTGATGAGGCGGGGGAATATCACTTTTTGATATCTCACCTATGTGTGTGACTAGGCAAAAATTGTACTTTTACTAACAAAATAAAAATTTACTCACATGTTGTATTCAATGTGCTTTTCACTTAACATTGGAGGGTCATCAATTGTAGCAGAAATAAGGCCATAAAAGCCAACAAACTTAATTACAATGTTCAGTTTCTCATTAGTTGTGTCAGGGTTTTTGTTTGGTCAAGAATCTTTCTTAATCCTCAACATTATTATTGTTATATTCCATTTCCATTCTAGGAAATTATACAAAATATTGTTGGAGATGGAACTTCACGGAATTTGTACAGTAGTACAAATATAAGTAATTACCTTTCCAACAAAAGAGTCTGCGAAGAGACACCTGGAGTTTCAATCAGAAACTGGTTAAAGGTATCTTTATAGAATTATGGAATTAAGGGAAATCATTCTTATCCTGAAAAAATTGTTTATATTTAAAAACAAGAACAATATCTAGAATTATTAAGGTCAAGTAATAAAGGACTAAGAGAAGGAGATCAGTTATAAAAATATAATTTATATTATATATACCACTGAACGTTACATTAATGAATAACATTTTGTAAAACTTTCCAATTTAATCTTGTGTTGGTATTGTAAGCAGGAATATAATTGGTAAGGTGAAATTGATATTATACTTCATAAATTACATTCATGATTCCATTGCAAATTTTCCAAGGACTTCTTCCATTTCCATACAAAGATGTTTCAGAGAATCCAATGATTTGTCATAGAATTTAAGAGCCTGAACATCTGTATTGGTCATGAAACTTCTCAAAACACTATTAATCTTTTGCAAATCAAAGATAGTATGCCATTTTCCTAATTTCCAACCCCCATACAGAACAATTGGACAGTTAGTTTTTAGTGAAGCAAGTCGACACTCTGCAATGAATCCAATAAATTTTAAAAATTCTTCATAGTTCATTCCAAATACTGCTTGCAGCATAATTTGACAATGTTCTGCCCAATCTTCCATGGCTTGACAATCTTCTATTTCTTTCTTCACATCATTTAAATTCTTTTGCATAGACAACCACATGTTTTCTATGTTACATCCATTTACCCAGTTGTGATTGATGGAAATAGTGTCCTCCTATAAAGAAATAAGAGAGTTTTATAAATACATTCTGCACACACACCCAGGGCACATCCCATCTATCATTGTGGAGGGGGTCATCATAATGATTTTTGTTAAATAATAAACATTTATTATATTGTATATTTTTGTAGTTAATATATTATACTACACATTTTTTTTAATAATTACATAATTCTAACATAAGCAAATATTTAAATCAATTTTGCCATACAAAAGATGGTAACAAAAGAAAACTCTAGGCCTTTGGGAAGAGAGAAGGCATGGCCCCCATGCCCCTCCCTGCAATCCGCCACTGGCACACACAAACAGAGAAATATTCTATGTGAAATCTGCTGGATTTAAAAACAAAAAGGAATTTTCAAGGACACGTGTGCCACAAATTGACAGTAAGAATACACAAGATCCCAGAATGACATTTATGGTACTTCTGAAATATACTGATAAGGTTCACTGATCTTTTGGTGTCGAGAATAAATTTGTGAATGGGAAAAATGGTATGGCTACCTTCTGCATTCAGTTCTTAGTTTGTAACATTCAATAAATGAATTGTTAAATAAAGTGCTTTTTTGCTTGCGATTAATTATTTCATAGAATATCTCACATTTTGTTAACATATTTCTTCCATTTTTAATAATGACCATCTCTTTGAAACAAATATGTAGTTTATAAAGAACAGAATGTGACTGACAGACAAATGAATGAACATTCAATGTATGCTGGTGCATCTATAATAATTATATCAATGGATCTACAGTTAAAATACACAACTTTACTTAATGTGGCTAAAACTACTTAAATTTTTATTACTAAGGTTCAAAACAATGAAACAAATCTACATCTTGGCTGGCTATCACAAAAGGAATAGTTAAATTTTGCTAATCATAGAGTCTGAGTATAACCTTGATGAAGAAGGGAGTTTATACACCAGAACAAACTGGAATTCTAGATCCAATTTTCCAGAACACTCTTCAATGGTCTTTTCTTTTAACTGCATTGACAGAAAATCTAATAATTGTTGTTTCTTTTAGTTAAAACATTTGTGTAACAGAATAGCCATTGATTTCCTGGGACAAATTTCCCTCACGTTTCCCCATTTTTCAAATGCATTTGTCACACCTAATATTAAAGTTATTCTCTACAAATTGGTCATTCCTCTGATTTTGTTGCGAAAAAGTACAAATTGACAATATTTTCTCACCAAATGAAAATTGAGGAAAAAATTACGCTGTACCGATGTTTGTATGGAATAATAGCTAGTTTTATATTCCTCTCAAAGTTTTCCCCGACTTCAAACAATTCTTGAGCATTAAAATTCCCTGTTTTTTTGGTTTTCCAGAAAGTGTCCACCTTGCTTAATACAAAGTTTGACCCAAATGTAGTCAGTATACATTGCCAATATTTGTACAACTCAATGTTCTTCTAAGAAGAACCCTTGGGCATCACTTCCAGTGCTTCTGTCAGTCTCCGTGAACACATCATCTGGAATTCTGTAAAACCATTTAGTTATGTCATGTGAACTTGAGACTGAGGAAGAAGTCTGAGAGAATTATATCTTGGGCTATAAAGGGCCTGAGGCAACATTACAATATTGTGGCAAACCAGATACTTCTCAGTTGATAAGTTGAATGACTTACATTAGTACAGAAAATTGGTAAAAGCTGTATTTATGAATATGTTTCACTGCTCGGGAGAGGGGGGGGGGGGAAATCCCCTCTCCCAGGCATGCCACTGTTTGTATGTTCTTCATTATCAAATTCTATCATACTCTTTTTACTAAAAATTCTATTATAATACATAATCCATACCAAATTCCATACTTGATGATGCCAACCAGTTGGGACAAATATTGCTTCTCCAGTTTCTTGTGTAATATCATATGGAGTAAGTTTGTGGTGATCAGGAAATAATTTGTTATCCAACATATCAGAACAGGTTGCATCATATATCAAATTTCCGTGATTGTCACGTAGATAATCTTCTTGGCCTGGAGGAAAAAGAAGCCATCGTTTCTTTCCACAAATGTTAATAGACCAGCTGAAGGATGTAAAAACATCTGCATGGAAAGGTGTCCTGAAAATAACGCAATCTCTGATTTTTTAGCATAAATATCAAAAGGAATAAAATATTTCTTTAAATGTATTAGAATACAGTAAAAAAATTACCATGATCCTTTGGGTCCCAAATAGACAAACCGATAATCATCGTTGATATCATTTCTTGATGTTAAATATTCATTCAACCAATCTGAAGCAAAGTACTGAGGAACTTCGTAAATTATATGAGTTGGAAAATCTTTTGTGAAATGCCAGTCCTAAGTGAATGTTATTACAAATTACAATATTACACATAATTTGCAAGTTATCTAATTAATTCCCAGTAATTACCTTCAAGTATAAGCAGGGCATATCAGAAGGGTAACCATTTTTAATGTATTTCTCCCAATAACTCAAGTACTCAGAAAATTGAGTAGGCTGCTTCTTTTGAACATTATAATATTTTTCACCACAATCAGCCACAGGTACAGTGACAGTCCCTGTAAACAAGAGAAGTTTATTCATGATAATTGACTTACAGTTGACTGATGGGATAGTGATTCAGAAAACTATAAATACAATTTACAAACCATAAATATTTTGTAAATTAGAAAAATGTGGAAGTCCTTGTGAAACCCACTCTTTAGTGCTTTTCCACGATTGGGCTGACGGGATTTTAATGATACAAGGTCTGTTTTTAACGAGAAAATTTTTAAAAATTGTATTGTACGAAACTGGTTTATCAATACGAATTATTTGCGTGTCAGAGCAATTGATGGACAAATCTTCAATCTCATTTTCCAATTCAATTGTGTCATAATTATTGACCATAAAGACGTAAGTAAATAAAATGCTCGATCACGTTAAAATGAATTAAAGTTGACTGGCTTCACAAATGTTCCACTAAAGTGCAGCATTATTTACTGTAGCAAGTATTAGGAAGCATAGCGCTCTGCCCCGTCCGTCATTTAATTTTGACGCGTTGCTTCAATCGCTTGTCACCGTGTACGTGAATCACGTTCGTCAACATTCATTTTTGCTTTGCATGATTGTGTTCGGTATGGAATTTTTGACATGAGATCAAATGCTGAAGTAATATTAAGTAAATGCTGTTAAATAAATATTTGTAGTACATTTATAGGCTTCTAGCATTTTTCTCTATATGTAGTTTACGAAGTAAAGGGTTGAAATGACACTTTAAGGTTGGCATTATTGTCGACCAATGAAAATTCAACACATCCAGCTTGGCATTTTGGGTGTACGCGCTGCTGATCCGATGGTCGTCTAGAAGTGATGCTGGGCCGGCGATGTGTGCAATTAATGTTTACGGGTGATTAATGAACTTTTTATGTCGCGTGAAGTGATAAGTCTGGTCCATTCTGCAACATTACCGAGTTCGATTTTATAAAATAAAATGGAAATGAGGATTTACCTTTTATTAATTCTTGCCTTTTCTCAAACACTTTTGGTGCTTGCAGGGTATGTTAATTTTAAAAAAATGTATTTTCTCTTCTGAACAGTGTTGTATCTGTGTGTCTCCCTTTTGTTTTATCAAGTGTGTTGTTATTGTATCGTTATGATTGATTCTTAGTTTGTTTTTAAATGTAATTTTATATGTATAATCTTTATATATGTTTTTAATGCTGTTTGTCATTGTTTTTGTTCAGGAGAGATTTTTACTCCATCCTTGGAATACCAAAAAGTGCCAGTTTGAATCAGATAAAGAAAGCATATAGGAGATTAGCCAAAGAATTGCATCCTGATAAGAATCAGGATGATCCTGATGCATCTCAAAAATTTCAAGATTTAGGTGCAGCTTATGAAGTACTCTCTGATCCAGATAAGAGAAAGAAGTATGATACCTGCGGAGAGGAATGTTTGAAAAAAGATGATATGATGAATGGAGCTGATCCATTTGCAAGTTTCTTTGGGGACTTTGGTTTTTTTGGCGGTGGGTCAAATAATCAGCAAGAGACACCTAAAGGTGCTAATATAGTAATGGATTTGTATGTTACTTTGGAAGAACTCTACAGTGGAAATTTTGTAGAGGTATGAACTCAAAATATGTTTATTAAAAATGCTCAATCGTAATTGTGTGTCAAGTACGCTGCATAACTTAGGATATCAGAATGTGGAATACTTACTAAAATTGAATGTACACTGTAGCAATGTGTCAAGAGGACAAAGGGCAATCAGAATATGATACACAATTAAAGATTATTACTAGTTGACAATATTTTCTCTAAATACTGAGGAAAGTAATAATGTTAATTTTAATATAAAGAACTGTAAATTTTAGATTTTCTTATCAAAAATTGGAAATGTTTCCATTAACCAAACAGTATGTAATTATAACATATTAACTAGGCGGAAGGGAATTACTGATTTAAGAGAAATCATATGTGAAGATTAGATGTGTAGGGAACTTTGTGATTATAAAATGCTTAAGAGACTTAAAGCTGAGAAGAATATAAAAATAAATTCAAAGAATGAAATGAATTCACTAAATAGATTACTAATAATAATCATTATTATATTTAATTTTAATTTACAAGTGTGTTGAATTACAACTGGTTAATATGATGTATTAAACTTTTCTCTGGTTTTAGATAACTCGGAATAAACCAGTAATGAAACCTGCAAGAGGTACTAGAAAATGTAATTGTCGTCAAGAAATGGTGACACGACATCTAGGACCTGGAAGATTCCAAATGATGCAACAAAATGTGTGTGATGAATGCCCAAATGTCAAGTAAGTTGGTTGTAATGGCTCAACTGAAGAGCCAGGAATAAGCCATGCATATTGAACACCATGTGAAAATGACAGATAAGAGAAAGGAAAATAATTAGCTGAGATAAATGATTAATAAGTTATTTATGTATCAAGACGTTAAAGAATTCAAATGAAGCATTCACTCTTGCAAATGAATGAAAAACACCTGATTAGTAATTATTAACAGTGAGAGTTATTAAAAAAAAAAATTACATATGTATATTTTTGAAAAATTAAAAGACCACATCTAAATTACATTTATATCATGTTATTCAGAGTGTTTAGCACTGTTTTCACGAAGGTTAAAGAAACAATTTGGAGGCTTTTTTGAGAAAATTGTTTTGACACTCCCTATATTTCATTCAAAATTGCGCAGAAACTACTAATATTTCTAACAAATAGGATATTTTCCTCAACATGTATACCAGTTCACTAACTGAAAGATTTGGATCCCTTGATTCTTAGAAATGGTTCACTAAAACTAATTATTTGAAAAAATAAATGGCATCGTTTTGCATTCATGAGTGAAAAAGAATAATTTGGTATTTCTCATCAATAATCTTTTTCATTCAGAGGTCAAAATTCAACAATGTCATTTAATATTTCATTAAAAAGCTTTCGCTTTCTTTCTCCTCCACACATAAATAAGAATCCTCCATTGCTCAGAGTGTTTCACATTGGACATTGTTACAAAGTTTTGCTCGTCTCCAAGTGCTTTCCATCATGTGCATGGTAACACCGTTAAGTAGATATATTTTGTAGTATTATCTGCATTCATCAGAAATAAAAGATGTTCCGTGTCTTATGTGTTCAGGAGTGAAGAATAATAAAGTAGATGCAGAGCATCTGCTACTTAAAAACATTCAGATGATTCCTTGCAAACTCCTCTCAAAGACTCACTGTTTTGGAAAAACTCTTTCTACATTATTTTTCCTTCTTGAAAATAAACTTTTGTCTATTTCGGCATTTACTTTAGGGGCTCCAACTTTCATAGGATGTTTCAGTTATTTGTCAGCACACATTTTTCATGTAGTGGAACATAAGTATTGCTTTGTTACAATATATTACTAATTAATGTTCCAAAAAATTTATATTTGTTAAATTTGTTGATCAGTAATACATAAATGGTAACGGTTTTTGGAATGGCAATTTAGGAAAAAAATTATCAACGTGTGTAGATTTGTATTCATGATATGGTTATTTAGATCAAGCTCATTTCAGTATTTTATAATGTAATGTCTTGTTATGACTATGACCAAATATTCGTGAATCATGTAGTATTGCTTTTATCTTGAAATTAATAACTTCTTCGGTGTTGTAATTTTCTATTTGATATCTATTTTCTGCAGCATTACTCAACTTTTTGTACATTATGTATATTATTCCGTTTATAAATACATATATGAGAAAGTAAAAAAGTTAGTTTGAAGAACTAACACCTTCAGCCAAGGTGCATACAACTATTTCATGTACACACTTCTCTGTTTTAGTTTTATGAATGTTTTCAAATGTTTAATATTATTAGGAATAATTGTTGAGGTAATTATTAGACTATTAGTGTTGCTGATTCTTTCATTTTCAAATATCGTTCCCGTTTTTATGAAATAAAGTATTGTAATTCTGCATTGAACAGTGCATATTTTTGCCCTGAAGAATGTATTTTGTGGGCCTCTGACATTGAAAAAGAGTTGTTATTTCAGTCCGTGTACTAAATTACTTTCTGTAATATGTTGTGTAGTCGAAATTCATGTTTTGTGAGTCTTTCATATGAAAAAATTGTTTTTGGCAAAACATCTTTTTCTGAACTGTGTTAGTATCTAAACCATGCACAGGATTTTTATGACATTTGATATTCTGTGATTGTGTTGCTGATGTCGCAATCCCTCTAAATTGAAAGAGACATTTTCATGTGTTGTGGTACTATACGCAAAGTCACTTAATTTTCTAAATTTTCTCAAAAAACGTTCCATTTTTTCATTGAATTTTTATTTCAGTGGAGGAATATACACTTGAAACTAGTGGAGTTACAACAGCACATACTTCCTCATGTTATTTGTAAATTTGGGAATTTTTAAAAATTCATGTTCAATGGAAATAAGACTATTCCTTTGTTGTGAGTGTCCTTTGTTTCAACCACAGAAACAATTTAATGAAAAAAAGTTGGAGTTGTTTTTAAGAAAAATATTTTTTTATCAATTGTCTTTATATTTACTCACCTTTTTAATAGTGGAGCAATAAAAGTTTTTTTGTAGAGAAAAAACTGTCATTTGCCATAAGATTGCAATACTTTCTCTTTACTATGTAAGTATACATTAAGGCAAGAAAGTAAAAACAGGCACATATATGATTTTCCTTAAAATCTCAGAATTTTTGAAATTTGTAAGCAGAATTTTTTTTTCAACCTCCTCCAGTATTTTTTTGCTGTTGGTATTTGTTTTTCAAAATTAGATCTTTCAACCATGTTATAGTACAATATAATACCATGAGTAGAATTTCTACAAAGTTTTTGTACAGTTTTAAGTAAAATAAAGGTAATTTTAAAAAATATGTAAAAAAGATTTTTTTAAAAACTGATCTAATTTTATTCATTAAATTTTTTGTTCAAATGGATTCAAGTTTGCTGAATATTATGCGTTAGATCATATTTTCATTCATAAAACTGAAATTTTATGAAATAGATAGGACGATGGCCAGCTTCTCCAGTTTTATTTATCACTATCATCTATTAGGTAGATGTCCTATCTGGCGCATTTAAGTAAATGAAATTTGCAGTAAACCACCTGTACACTTACTGACAAAACAACACACTCGTTACGAAATAAGGGTTCGTCCATAAATTATGTAGCGCAGATTTGGATTAATTTGAATACCCCCTCTCTCCCCTATAACGCACCTATAACACGCGATTTAACTCTACCTAAATAATTACGTTACACTTACAACCCCTCCCCCCCTATAAATGCAAGAAGTCTAAATAAATTACAGCTTATTAAAAAAATTTAATTCATCTTATTTGTGTTGTGTGTTAAATTTTATGATAATTAAAGTCGGAATTAGTTTTCAGTGCTGACTGCACCTAACAATGAGATTGGGAGCAAATTTTGAGCGAAGGAAGTGTGCACAGGCAAGAAAATTTCTGATCACATGTTGGGCAAATGCCAATTTTGTGGATGGCACAAGGGCAAGAATCTACTGCATATCAATTTCATTGTATTGTACAAAATACTACAGATCAGTTTTGAATATTTTCTTTGTACATCTTACAGATTCAATACAAAATTGATGAAAAAATATTTTATTTTTGATTTATGATTTATTGTAACAACTTCTAATAACTTTAAATTATTTATATTTTAAAACAATTTAATTAGATAATATTTTATTGTTTTAGTGTGCCTCAAAAAAGGAAGTACATCTACAAATGTTGAAAAATTAAGAAAAGAAAAATATGTCAATGTTATGTAACACTAATCGAATCCCCGCTGCCCCTATGTAATGCAGTGTAATGCTGCCTCGAACCCCTTTCCCCCCTCTTTAGCATTATGTAATTTATGGATGATTCCTAAGTAAAATACACACATTAACTGCAGATTCACTCTCCAAAAATAAAAGGAATAATTTTCATGAATGTTTTTGCATTCATATAAACATTCACTTTCTTTAGAATATTCAATGTAGTGCACTGATGCAATTTCCTATTTCTGTTTGGTCTCAAAATTGTCATAAGCTTAACATAACAAGTCCTTATGCATATATGTACTTTATTGGGAATAAAAATATCTATTTTATATTATAAGTATACCCTTTTACTTTTGTAATGTAGTAGACTTCATTTTAATTGTTTTGTTTAATGTAATTTTTTGTATACTAGGTTAGTCAATGAAGAAAGAACATTGGAAATAGAGATAGAACCAGGAATGGTAGATGGCCAAGAAACTAAATTTGTTGCGGAAGGTGAACCTCATCTGGATGGAGATCCTGGTGACTTGATTTTGCGAATCCAAACACACCCTCATTCAGTTTTTGAGCGCAGAGGAGATGACTTGTACACAAACGTCACCCTTTCACTGCAAGATGCATTGGTGGGATTCACAATGGAAATTGATCATTTAGATGGTCACAAGGTTGAAGTGTCAAGAGATAAAATTACTTGGCCAGGAGCACGGATTCGAAAGAAGGGACAGGGAATGCCCAATTATGATAATAACAATTTATTCGGAACTTTATTTATCACTTTCGATGTGGACTTTCCAAAAACAGAATTTACAGAAGAGGAAAAAGAAGGTTTGTGTGTTCACTTTGTTTTAATACTTTCATTATTGTATTGTGTGTAGTGATTAGATTTGCTTTATTTCTATAGCTATACTTGGATTTAAACATAAGTTCAGTTATATCAGCTGTTACAGTGTCGTCCAATCAGGGGGTTGAATGTCACTGTAGTGACATCACTATAGTGACGTGTAAGCTCCTGATTGCATGAGACTGTCACGGCTGATGACCTGCCAAATAAAGCTGAGCAGTTCTGTATTTTTAATGATTGTTTTGTTTTTAATATTAATTGTGCTTTGTCTATGCTGTAATAAATGCACATTTTATTATGATTCAAAAAGTATTTGGTTTTGGTAATTCTATATGTATTCTGTGTGAAACATCAGCTTGGAATAATTATTCCAATATTAAAAACTATTCCCTTCAGTAATATATTTTCTGGAGCACTAACACAAGTTTCTTTTCTTTTTCAGCAATTAAAAAGATTCTCAACCAGAGTCCCAATAATAAAGTATACAATGGTCTCAGAGGCTTCTGACATTAAAGCTTCTTATTAGTATTCTTTTTTGTGATGTGTGTAAGTGTGAGACAGCAGATATACCTAAGAAGAGAAGTTATTGGTGTGTTTAACTGTCAAAAGAAAATTCAATTTTGCAGAAATGTGATTTGGATTCTTGAGGTAAAGAAGCAAGAAATAGTATGTAGAATGAAGCTGAATATATATTGTTCATTGTATGCAAAGAGATGACTGTGCTGTGATAAGTCTTTAAATATTTACTACTATGAAATTTATTAGTGCAATGTTTTCTGAATTGTATATTATATAAAGACAACAAAAGGTAATAGTGAAAAGAAATAAGTGTGTGTTCTTAGTTTTGTGAATATTCTATCAGTTCTTTGTGTGGTTCCTACATGAAATCCTGCAAGAATTAATCCATAGAGACATTTCAACATTGGGAATGAATACGAATGGACTTATAATTGAAAGTGGTCAATTTGAAGCTGTTTCAATAGGAAGTAATTTTCTAAGAATATTGCTATGAACTCATTCAGTTTTCTTAAAATTGTGTGCTCATGTTAAAGTAATTAAAATACTGGATATGAGGGATCAGGCTCAAATTTTGATTTGGTGCTTGGTATAAAATGGCATAACTTGCCTTTCAAGAAACATGCAACCTGTTTCTCACAAAGCACAAAGGGAGACATTAACCACCTTCAAAGTCAAACGGAATTTCAAGTCACATTGGTATGAAATTGCATTGCAGACTTTTGCTCTGCAGTTATTTTACATGTGTTTTTTAATCTGATGTTAAGGAATCTTGCATATGATTATTTTTTTTGCAAGATATTAAATTTCTCTTAATCTGAGTGAAGCAATTTATATTAATAAGTGGATTTTAACTCATGGCAAATTGAATGGAACTGTACTTTCTGCTCAAATCCTAATAACTGGAACTTGGACCTTTATCTTCGAATGTCTGATCACAATAATAACTTCACAAAGGGGAAAGAATGCAGATTATTGTATCTTTTCATTACATTGCTAATGTAGATAGTGAGAGTGGTTATGACTTTGAAGAGAAGAGTGAAGTTTTAAACACTACTATTGTTTTTAGTGTTTCTAAGTTCATAATGTTTTTTGTTGGTTTTTTTCCCCCACATAGTGCAGGTGTAAATGTTCCTGTACATAATTCCAGGGGTGTGTGGTTTGTTTGATGTGTGGTATATGTGAATATGTATGCAAGTGAAAATAACTAGCTTCAAAATAAATTTTTATTTATTTGTGAAATTTGTAAATTCATTCTTGAAGTACAAATATATATTTTCAGTTGTGTTTTGCTAGAATTCCTCTTTTATGAATCAATTAAGAGTATATATTGAATCCTAATAATTGAATATAATCATTTAATGCCCATAGAAAATTGTATTAACTCTTTAGTGCTTAAAGTTGCTTTTTGAAATATTTTTCAGAAATATGTAATGATGATAATTTTTAGTTTATCATGAATCAACACTCAGAAATATTTTTTTTTAATTATAATTTTTGGGAAATTTGCTATCTGTTTCAGCAGGTGCTCTGCACAAGTTATGGTTACCAAAGGCAGGAAACTTGGCTTTTTTTAAGAGGTGGGGGGTCAGAAGAAGTTATAGTCTATAGATAAACAATCTGACAATGAAGGTCCATGAACTAATAAAATTAGTTTTCTCTTTGGCGTAGTGGAATTGCATGGAACAAGAAATTTCATTTTCTGCAAATACATTTTGATTTCCTTTTGCAACCTTCAAGGGCACACCTATGTGTTTATTTTTATGGCCAGTGATGGTATTCTCAAATCAAAATTTTAACCTACTTTTCAGTAACATTTTATTTGGAATTTTGCCAACCTTTTTGAATGCATGAATGAGTTGTGATTAAAATGTCAGAAGGTCAAAAGAATTATTTCCTGTGTTATTTTCTCGATTCATCAATCAAGCATTTATAAGGGGTGCAGAGGCATACAGGTAGTTAACAAAAATGGAACACCAGTTTGCCTAATTCATGATGTGTAAGTCACTACAGACTTCTCTGTTCTGATGGCATTAATGTCGGCATACATTATTTTGTTCTTTGATTCTAATGATTTTTTTTTTACTTTCTTGTATACGTATGTATATACGTAATATAGTGAAAGTTATGAAATGTTCTGAGGGGAAAAAATGATGTGGAGATTTCAATGGAATTATGTTTTGAGGGTCCTGATACAGAAAGTGTGTTGTTGTTTTTTCCCTCAAAATGTCCGTCCGTCTGTGAACAACACAAGTGCCTTAACAATTCGTTGGATTCATTCCAAACTGATTACTCTCCTGTTGATCAGACCTCACATGAAGCTCTGCAATTTTGAAAAACTTTTTTTGTGGGGAGGGTACTTAACATTAAGCAGGTGTCACATTTTCAAAACTGACTCCAAATTTTTTCTTTTAATTTCTTTGAAGAATAGAGTGAAGTATAAAGGTGCCATAGGTCCAACTTCTAAGCTTATCTCTGAATTTTCGAAAATTGCGAAAGTGATATTTTTTGCGTCTTCCCACTACCACGAAATTGAAGATAGAGATTTTACCTTCCAATGAAATTTGTTTTTCATAATAAGTTTTTTCATTCAGGTCAGGTACATTTCTTTGAAACTTTTAGTAGTTTTCGCGCAATACTGCGAGAAATATGAACAACTTTAAAAAATACGAATTTCTCAAAAACTGCTTCATTTTTTTTCTTGAAACGTTTGATAGGGTTAGTGCGAATTGTACTATATGAGATGAAATAAACGCCATTTTGTTTTTTGTATTTTCTAAAATTACACAATTTTTTCACGTTTCTCACGTGGTTAATATTTACATCTAGGCGGATTACTGTACATTATTGAATCTATTAAAATTCAATGCTTCAAATGATGTCTGGTAATGGTTTCCTAAAACTCAAAAGTTTTATATGAAAATAAGCTCAAAATTCCGCATTTGATTTAACTGATATTTCACTTTGATTGTTGCAAACAAAGAGTTAAATAATGGACGTCATGCATTCGGTATGTCACCTCATTCGTGAAAAAAAATTGTCTAGGACTTAAGTATTTACTGTACGTTCTATTTTTTTTTATTATCTCTTATTCACAAAGTTTTCCAAATCTTTCTTTACAAATTATACACGTACTGTACTTTGTTATTTCAACAATTCTCCATCGTTAGCATACATTACTTCCGTGCAACGCGCGCTTCCGCTGGCCCCGTTTGAAAAATGGCGCTCTTTACCTTGGATGGTGGTCGCGTCGCCTCGGTCCGAGGCGTACCGCTGCGCTGCTTTGGTTGCCAGCGCGTCTTGCGGTGGCGTCGCCTCGGTACACAGAAATTTAAAAAAGCACTCAATTCGACTGCTTTTTTATTTGTCGCTTAATTTTTCTTAAATATATTTATTTTGTAAATAATAAACAATGTACATGTTTCTGGAGGGTTCATAATGGGGGGATGCTTCTGCAATGCTAACTTTTGCCTGGAGAGCAAGTTTTCAAACCACCTTTTGAGTGCTTATTGCGGCTCAACCATTCGGAATATCCACGTAGTTTATTTATGCTTTAAATTGTCTTAAGAGCTTATGCTTCGGCAACACCAAGACGGGTTCCCTCAACAGGCCCACTACTGATAGAGTACGAAACAGCGCGACCTGTTATCTGCGGCCCGCGGTTCGACCGCCGGACTTGCGGTTCATGGCAAGCGCGGAGGGGTCAGTCGTGACGTCATGCCAACCCTTCCAACAGAAGCAGAGCAACTGACCACTCTGCCTAGAACGAAACGTCGAGGTTGAACTGAATGAGATTGTTAACGTGTGCAGAGAGCGATGCAGTGTCGGGAGATAGTAGACATTTTGTTGAAAGAGCGGCGAGTAAGGATGCAAATATTCAGGACTCAGATATAGAACGCCGTAAATTTATTCAGTTAACAATATTTATTTGGCAGATTAATTGAAATGAGTGAATTATTAGAAAGATTTAGGACGAAGAAGAGTAGTAGCCCCGAGAACGAGGGCCGCGAATTATCACGAGGCGTTCATAGAACTTTGTACTTAACACGAGCTTAAAGTGTTGAAATACGTCCTTTGCAAAACGCGTTAAGATTGGGTATCACGCGTCGGTGTGCTACGAGTCAAGAGTAGCTTAGAGAGAAGACTGGACGGGGATTCTTGGTGCTGGGAGCGAAGAAAGAAGAGTGGACGTGGATTCCGTGGACAGTTGTTTGAGCGACATCGCGGACGTCTGGTCGGCAGAGGAGCGACCATGCGGCCGGAATTTGGAGCAAGGTCAGGCGCATGTCGAAGAAGAACCGAGGTTGGCACGATCCACTGCTGTGAGCGCGACAGAAAAATGTAGCAGAATTTGTAACTGCAGTCTTAGGCAGGCAGAGCTACGAGCACGCTAGCGCAGCGGAAAGCGAAAATACTGAATTCTAAAAAAAGTTGCATAATCAAGAGATTTTATAAGTGGAAACGGTAAAAAGGACCTTGTAAAACTGATACATTCATTTATGTTTAATTACTCCTAGGACAGTCATTGTAAATAGTTGTGTAATAGAATACGTGATTGTGTTAATTTTGTTGCGAGCATTTTTGAGCTAAAAAAATTTGGTAGAAAATTAGAAATTTCATTTTGTTTTGTGTATTCGAACGTAAATTAACATTTCTTTTAACTGTGCTGGCCAAGCAAGTAACTACCGTGCAGGAAGACAATTAATTAGAAGAATTAACCAGTTAAAACATTAAACGAGTGTTTATCATTTCAAAGCTTACAAAGAGAATTTCATTTCTTGTGAGATTTTTGAAAGTTAAATTTTCATTTGTCAACTCGATAAGAGCATCGATCCGAATACATTAGACGCGTATACAATGCGTTGAATAATATATATTGCAACGGAACACGTCACATTCTCCACGCTCCGGCATTCAACAATCTTGGGATGGCCAGGGCGGTTATTCCCATGAGAATTGCTTCTTAGCGTAGGTTCCTGATAACGTTACGACTCTCTCGCCGGTCGTCGTCTGGGCCTGCGAGTTGGTTATTCAAATTCTCCTTCAGACAACCTGCCTGAAATGGCATCGGAAACCACACATACAATAAAAACGCTTCGAATTCCCTTTGATTAAATCGACTTCATTAAGTAATCAAAATACTGTATCACTTTCAAAAAAGGTTACAATTTCAATGGGATGAAACAATGTTCTTAATACTTAATATCTGCCTTTCACTTTTCTTCAGGGAAACTTATCAGTTTAAAAATTAATGAAATCTTTACAATTACAATGAACAATTTACGCTCCAGCTGGTTAGATTCTACTTTGTGCCTTCGCCGTTTCAGATTTCTTAAAAAACTAATACAATGAACCTTTGGATTCGCGTAACATGAACTCAAATTATTTAACAAAGAAGTTTTAGTGCACGAAATTTTCAAAAATATCTTGCGAACAAAATTGTTTTAATATTGTAGTCAGCGAAACGTTTTATTCGCGCTTGTGAATCTACTATTACTTAAGTTACTTTCTGAATTTAAAATTTCAGAAAGTGCTATGGCAATTTTTATCAAAGTTTCTCACTTTCTACAAGTTCCGTTGATTCTTTCTTTTAACAAAGTTTACGGGTACTCACACTGCTACAATGGACTTGGGCGAGAGCTGTGCAAATGCGCCGCCTTTGCGCAGCGCGCTACGGACGCGAAAGCGACGCCGCCCTTTGCGCGACCTTCCGCCTGTCGCTGGTGGATGGCGGCAATGTCGCCTTCTACTGCGCGGAACTAGCCGTGTACATGTCTTCGCGAGCCGTACTCCATCGCGCACAAGACACACTTCGGACTTGCGTTTCCTCTGTGCTCGTCGCGTATTCTGCGGATGCGAAGCGACGATGACCGTTACGTTCCGGTAATCCTTGATCGTTAATTACTAAATATTGCTGCCTTTAATAGGAACACGTATTTTTTGTGTTAATGAACAAAATTAATTTTTCCTTGAAAAATTACCAAAAAGGTTCATAGGTAGCTCCTATCTCAATTTAAAATTTTAAAATAGAATTAAACTTACAATTAAATTCAAGGTGCGGCCTGTGAATTAACACCAAACCTTTAAATTCCCTGTTAATTCAGAGCAATCAGGAGTATTTTGTGTTTAAATCATTATTCGAGGAGCTAAAGTGTTAAATCTTCCCCTTGGTATTATTACTACTTACCATGATCTAGCAGCTTGTCGCAAACTTGGGGGTTTCCATCAGGCGCACCACATCTGTGCGTGGGGGGGGGTCGGACCTCTCAGAGCTGAAGATCGTAGGACGTGAATGCGTTCTTTTCGGCGGAGTCACGCAGCAGCACGCGTCGCCTCCGATCAGCACATATTACGCCAAATTATAC